ATTATTTAGGTACCAAGGGCAAAAATATTGTATCGACATCGTTTAATCGATATAAATATATAAATAGATAGAAATATCTACTTCAGTAGGAATCATCGGCTCGTAGCGTTCGTAACGCGCGTCCTTCGTTGTTCGTCGTCGTCGTCGTCGTCGTCGTCGTCGTAGTCGTAATCGTTTTTCGTCGACGATATTGTAAAAAGTAAGTGAGAAAAATTTGAACAATAAGAGAGATAGATCGATTGAAGTTAAAAGAAAACAATAATAATAAAAATAACAACAATAACGACAATGAAACAACAACAAAAAAATAATAAGGGAAAAGGAAACTCTCTCTCTGTGTATGCGAGATTGTAAGAATTAAACAACCCAAGATCGGGTGATATAGTTTATATTCTAGTGTAATTGATGATTTGTGGAGTTAATTAATGATTTGTGGATATATATATATATATATATATATATATGTATATATATGTCAATCGTATTATTTTGTAAATATTCGTTTGAATAAATCCTGAGATGATATGTAAAAATTGTATAAACATTTTAATGGCGTGTAATATCATTTATATATATATATATGTGTGTGTGTGTGTGTGTATCAATTTTATTTATTATTATATGTTCACCTTTTATGGGGGAAATTAATTAAAATCATTGAGAGATAAAAAGTGATATCAAATAGGCCAGGATAAACAAAGTTATTCTTAACAAGTTATTCTTCTATTTATTTATTTATTTATTTATTTATTTATTTATTTATTTATATATGTATGTATTTATTTATTTATTTATTTATTTATTTATTTATTTACTTGTGTCTGTTCGTGTGTCTCCTTCTTTTTTTCTCTTTCTTTTTTGTTTTTTTATACTCTTGTTTTTTCTCTTTTTCCTTTTTTTTTCCTTCCTTTTAAAATTATTTTCCACGAATCCTTCAGCAATTAGACGAACACGTTCGAAAATTATTGTGAGTCGATAAGGCGAGTTCATGGACAGTGAGCGGGAAGTCGCGGGAAGCTTGAGAGAAAACGAAGTGGGCGGTGAATCAAGTTATACCGAGGACAAGAGTTAGACCTTGCTTTTTGTTTAGGAAAACGACAGGGTGAGGGCCGAACTATGGAGAAGTAGAAAGGGAGGAGGGAGTGGGTGTGAATGGAGTGAGTGCATGATGGAGAACTTCTTGCTTGCTTTTCTACCAGTCAAATTATATACATACATATATATATATATATATATATATATATATATATATATATATATATGTGTGTGTATCGAGAAAAAAGAAGACAACACGATGAATGAGATGCTATGAACAGCACATCTTCTTACATTCTTCGCTTATCTCTTTTTTCTATCTTTTTCCTTTTTTCTTTTTTCTTTCTTTTTTTTCGTCGACTAATTACTTTCTCTCTCTCTCTCTCTGTCTCTCTTTTATTCTTTCTGTTTCTCTCTCTTTCTCTCTGTCTATTCGTCTGTAGAATATCACGTCGAAAATACCGGGACCAGAATTTTTTTAAACCAAATGCCAATAAAAAGACAAAAAAAAAAAAGAAAAATAAAGAGAAGTTTACAAAGTGATTAAAGGGAAAGAACAATTAAAATATTAAAGAATCTACGAGGCAGAGACGTTTAATTCGTCATGGTTAAAACCATTTAATATTTTACGATTGTTTTAAAATATAAATTTTGCAATTGTACACCGTCATATGTAAGTACGTACATATGTATATACATTCATATACGTATACGATAATAAATTATGTTCGAATTGTTGCAAATAGTTCATGCTTCATTTCTTAAATTACATTTTCTAGAATATTACAAAGATTTATTAATTGAAACAAGGCATCATTTGGCAATTTTTCATATATTGATTTTATTTCATTCATTGATTTTTTTTTCAATATTTTTATCTCTTCTTGATGACGAATGAAAAGCATTAACTTTTTGGATAATTCGATGCATACCTACTTTAAATTTCATACATGCACACATACATACATACATATATACGTACATACATAAATACATGCATACCATGTATTCATATATACATACATATATATAACTATACGTATATATGTAAGAGTAAAGTTCCATGTGAATGATATGGAACCGAGAAAATGTCGTTTGCAATGTTCGCGAATACGAATGTATAAGCAAAAGAAGCGGAAAATCGTGTTCCTCGAAGTTACACGGTACTGTTTGGCCAGAATTACAAGCCGAGCGAAGGTAATTTACGTTCACATTTTCTTCGCTTCCGTGCAATCTAATCGTCGTCCTTGTCCTCGTCGAACGTCGGCGTCATCGTCCTCATCTTCGTTGTCTTCGTCGTTGTCATCGTATCGTCGTCGTCGTCGTCGTCGTCGTCGTCGTCGTCGTCGTCTAGATTGGCACACATTGGTATATGTATCGAACGTATGTATGTATTTCCATTGACTTGGCCCTGAACGATCAACAGAAAAAAAAAAAAATAATCTGTGATTACAGTATATTCTCAATTATCGTGCTCCCTCGATTCATTTCTTCTTCTTTCTTTCTGTTTTTTTTTTTATCTATCTCTTTTTTTTCTTGTTCTTCTTCCTTTCTTTTCTTTTTCTTTTTTTTTTTCCCACACCTCATCTATTATTAATACCTCGACAAAATATTTTATCGATCGCTCGTAAAAGTTCTTTCGTTAATAATTTTTTCTAGATATCTTTTTTCCACCTCCACCATCTCCTCCTCCTCCTCCTCCTCCTCCTTCTCCTTCTCGAGTTTATCTCGCTCGTTCAATTTGTAGTCTATGATGAATTATTTCGAAGAAAAGAAAAAAAGAAAAATCTCAGGAATTTGATATTTTTTGTTCTTCTTTTTTTTTTTTTTCTTTTATTCATAATTACTCTTATCTTTCAATTAGGTCATATGATTATTTCTATCGTAATAATTTACATGGACGGACGAATTTTTTAATGTTATATCTTTATTATTATCGTCTATGCATATAGAATATCGATTGAATAAGTAATTAGAAATATCTTTTTAAATTTCACACGTGTTATCAAACGTAAATACGACTTATAATGTATGGTTTTTAAAGAGCAGAAACAATTCGATACGTTAGATATATTTTTCTAACTATCTATATCAAAATTTATCTATTTTCAAAATATAAATTAGAGATATTTTAAGTTCTATATATACATATGTATGTGATATAAATTTGTCTCGGTGCGAATTTGTAATTTTGTTTGAGAAAAAAAAAGAAGAAAGAAAAAAGGAGTAAAAGAAAAAAAGAAAAGAGAAAAGAAAAAAAATAGAGAAAAGAAAAAGAATGAAAATGAAGAAAAAGAAAAGAACAAATGAATAAATAAAAAGAAAATGGAAAAATAGAAAGCAAGAAGAAGAAAAAAAGAGGAAAGAAAAACTAACAGGCTCGATTTGTAAAAATATTATTAAATGAACAAAGTTATATAAATATTTGTAAAGACAGAGATAGAGACAGGAATAAAGATAGAGAGAGAGAGAAAATTAGTATATCAATGATCAGTCGCAAATAAAATGATGAAGAACTTTTTATTATGAGCAGAGTTAGTCGTAAGATGCATGTTCTCAAATGACGTCAAGTCTGTTCGTCGACGTTGATTGTCGACGTTGTCGGTGGCCTGCGATTCGAGAGTGCACGCGTTAGTAACGTGCGCCCGTAGTATTCTCGACGACGAATTTCGGAAAATCCTCGAAATAGAGTATACCGAGTACGAAGTAAAGCCAACACACGGCACCGACCTTCTGGTTTCACTATACATAGTTGATCGTCGCTGAATCTAAATTCGGAACGTTAGAAACGTACGAGTCTTCTATCAAAGCTAGTATTACGTACTACATATGCGTGTATTATGCATATATATGTATATGTGTATATATATATATATATATATATATACATATATATAAGTTAAATTATTAACAATTTTATATATATATATATATATATATATGTAATAAATGAATATAATTTAAATAAATAATGAAGAAATTTTTTTGTTATCGAAGGAATTTACGTAAAAGTAAATAACACGTGTTAAATCGTTTTTGAATGATATTTCCGATAATAAATTTTATTAATATCTTTTTTTATCGTTATTATTTGTTTGCAAAACGATTATTAAAATAATTACGTAAAATTTATAAATTTTATAAATAATGTTAAAATATATGAAAGATTTTTGTAACAACTGAATACATAAATCATACGTGATAATTGATAATAACATAGAAGCGCGAAACCAGAAGCCTGTCGGCTTTACTCGGATCGTTAAATCTTCCTGTAAGTGACATTGAAATAGCACGTCCTTGTGGAAAATTCATTGAAGCAAGGTCGCTCGAGAAGAATCCTTAACGAATTGTAAATCTTGATATAGTTTATTAGAAATTTGTTGACGGAGAGTTGAGTGGAGAGGGGCAGTATTGAATCGTGAATTAGAACGATCGATTTTTATTGGATTTTTATCCTTTTTTTCTTTTTTTAATTTAATTTAAACATACACACACACACACATACACACACACATATACACGCTTACACGCAGATACATGAAGTCATAATTTAAAAGAGAGCAAACGTTCTTCTTAAATAAAGAAATTTGGAAAAATAAATGAAAATTAATTCAATGCAAATGCGATTAGAGTTCAGGGAACACAGACACTAATAATCCATAATAATATAACATGAAATATAATTTACATAATAGACGAACAGAAAGTATGTACGCGTTATAGATACATACATATAAATGTCGTTAGATAAGTCGCATATTAATTTGCAGTCTAATGTGTAGCGAGCATTAGAATGCGCGTGGTAGATAGAAATAGCCGCGTGGGTCCAAGCGTGATATGTTAATAGATAAGAACTTTGATCGTCTGAAAAGTCTGTATTAAGGACTCGAGTTGCGAAGTGATATCATCCACTTCGAACTTCTTATCTCTGATTTTCGATCGGTCGACGTTCTTCTTGTGATGAA